TTTTTTAAATATCTAGAATTGTTCATTTCTAGTATATAGAGATGCAATTGATTTTTGTATATGGAACTTAAGTCCTGCAACTTGCTAAACTCACATATTAGTTATAGGAACTGTTCTGTAGATTCCCATGTATTTTCTACATAGATAATCCTGTCATTTGTGAATAAAGACAGTTTACTTCTTCCTTTCTGATCTGCATGATGTTTCTTTTCTTTGCCTAATTTCTCAGGCTTGAACCTCCAGTACAGTGTTGATTACAAAGTGAAAGAGTGGACATCCTTGTCTTGTTTTGATTTGGGGGGGGGGAGGGGACATTCTGCCTTTCACCGCTAAGGATGATGTTAGCTGTAGGTTTTTTTTCTATAGTACATATATTTTTTTATTGATTAGGGTATTACATATGTGTCCTTATCCCCCATTGCTCCCCCCTCCCATTCATGCCCTCACCCCCCGCCCCGTGTCTGTATGCATTGGTTATGCTTATATGCATGCATACCAGTCCTTTGGTTGATCTCTCCTCCTTACCCCCTCCCTCCCCTAGCTGTAGGTTTTTTATAGATGTCTTTTATCAGGTTGAGGAAGTTCCTTTCTATTCCTAGTTTTCTGTGATTTTTAAAAAAATCAGGAATGGATGTCATATCCTGCTTTTTCTACATCTATTGAGAATATTGCTACTGTATGAGTGTGTCCCTCCCCAAAATTCATATGTTGAAGTCCTAACCCCCAAAGGCATTAGAAGGTGGGATCTTTGGGAAGTAATGAGGTCTCAGGGGGATTAATGCCCTTATAAAGGGGCTCCAGAGATCCCTTACCATGTGAGAACATGCACAGAAAGGCACTGGCTATGAACCAAGAAGCGACCCCTCACCAGAACTCAACCATACTGGCACTTTGATCTTGAACTTCCAGCCTCCAGAACTGAGGAATCGGTTTCTGTTCTTTATAAGCCACCCAGTTGGTGATATTTTGTTATACTGGCACAAATGGACTAAGATAGAGATTAGAGGGTTTTTAGTTTTTAGTTTGTTAATATGCTGAATTACATCGATAAAATTTCAAATGTTTAAATGAAACTTGCATTCTCATGGTAAACTACTTAGTCATGTTATGCTATCATTTTTGTTTCTTATTGAACTCAATTGGCTAAAATTTAGTTTAGAATTTTTTTGCATGGATGTTCATGGAGCATATAGGTCTAGAATTTTCTTGTCATATGTTTTTGTATAGAGTCGATATAAAGGTAATGCTGACCTCATTGACTGAGTTGGAAGTAGTCTTTCCTCCTCATTTTTCTGGAAGAGTTTGTATAGTGTTGGCATTATTTCTTCCTCAAACAATTGGTAGAATTTGAGTTTCCTGTCTGCATATTTGTTCATGTGTGAGATCGGGCTAAAGAGGATGCCATGTTGGATGCCAAAAATCCAGAGACCCAGAGGGCAGAGTGCAGGGTGACCAGGGCAGAGGGAAAGCAAGAGGGAATATCCTAAAGAGGCAGAACCACAAACAGGGAACCCACGTTTGGCATATACACTCTGTCCAAATCTCTGGGAGCCCTGTGTTGGGTATGCACTCCAAGAAAAAAGCTGAGCAGAGATTTCAGTTGGTGCCTAATACAGGGGAGACCAAATCTGGAGTCTGAGTTTAGCTAACTGCCTGCTAGTCAGAAACACATAGAATTCATAAATGTGTATGCACCCAATGCACCCAGAATTTCAAGCTATCTTATATAATAAAAGGCAAATATGCAAATCACCCGAATGGCGGAACAACCCGTTGCTATGATGCGCACTGACCACCAGGGGGCAGATGCTCAACGCAGGAGCTGCCCCCTGGTAGTCAGTGCACTCCCACAGGGGGAGTGCCACTCAGCCAGAAGCTAGGCTCACGGCTGGCGATCGCAGCAGCAGTGGCGGGCTCCTGCCTCCGCTGTAGCGCTAAGGACCCATGGGGGATGTCCGCCCCAGGGAGCGGGCTTATGCTGGCAGGCAGACATCCCCTGAGGGGTCCTGGACTGCGAGAGGGTGCAGGCCAGGCTGAGGGAACCCTCCCCCCCTCAGTGCACGAATGTTGTGCATTGGGCCTCTAGTAGGAAATAAAACTTGACAGAATAAAGGGAGAGAGAGATATTTCCACAATTATAGCCAGAGATTTTAACACCCTTGCCTCAGCAATTGATAAAATTAGACAAAAAAAATCAGTAAATATATAGATCTGTATGACATTAACAACTACCTTTACTTCATTGATATTTACAGAACACTATAGCCAGCAACTGCAGACTATAGATTCTTTACAAGGGCATTCACCTGGATAGATCAAATACTGGGCCATAAAAACAAGCCTCAACACATTTAGAAAAAGTGAAGGTTTACATAATAAGTTATCTGAGTCCACAGTGGAGTTCCATTATAAATTAATAACAATAATATGTCCCCAAATGTTTGGAAATTCAACATCACACTTTCTTCTTTGTGTCAAAGAAGAAAACACAAAGGAACTTTAAAAGTATGTAAAATTGAATGATAATAAAAATAAAACATCAAAATTAGTGGGAGGCAGCCAAAGAAGTGATTAGAGGAAGACTTATTGCTTTAAATCATATCAGAAAGAAAAAAGGCATAAAATCAATGCCCTAATAGCCCATCTAAAGAAGTGAGAAAAAGCAAAGCAAAGTAAATCCAAAATAAGTAGAAAAAAGAAATAACAGAGATAAGAGCAGGACAAAATGCAATGGAAAACAAACTATGTAGAAAATGAACAAAGCCATATATTTTTAGAAGAGCAATGAAATGTATAACCTCCAGCAAGACTAATCAAGAAGAAGAAGTACACTAATCATCAGCATCAAGAATGAAAGAGGGCTATCGGTATAGAATCATGCAGATACTAAAAGAATAATGAGGGGCTACTGTGGGGATCCTTACGTCAACAATTTTGATAAATTCAATAAAATTGAAAAATTCCTTGCTAACAAAACAATTGATCAAAATTGACAACAGGTTAAATATAAAATAGGAATAGGCCTATTTCTTAGAAGTGAATTTAATTTACTATAAAAAAATGTTCCTGAAAACAAAACAAACACAACAAAAGAACAATCCAGGCCCAGATGACTTCATGGGTAAATTCCAGCAAATGTTTAAGGAATGAAACTCGCCAATCTCACACATTTTTAGGAAATAGGGGAGCAGGGAACAATTCCCAATTCATTTTGTGAAGCTAGGATAAACCTGGAAATAAATCTTGATTTAAAAAGTGATGGATAAGCCCTGACCAGTTTGCCTCAGTGGATAGAGCGTCAGCCTGCAGACTGAAGGGTCCCGGGTTCGATTCCAGTCAAGGGCATGTACCTTGGTTGCAGGCACATCCCCAGTAAGGGGTGTGCAGGAGGCAGCTGATCGATGTTTCTAACTCTATCCCTCTCCCTTGCTCTTTGTAAAAAATCAATAAAATATATTTTTAAAAAAGTGATGGTTAAGAAAAAAAGAGAAAATTACAGGAAAATATCCCTCATGAACAGTTAGCAAAAATCTTTACCTATCAGCCAGTCAAATCCAGCAACGTATGGTAAGGAAAGGTTTTCTATTGCCTATTCACAGGTGTAGGGCACAGATGTTCAGTGACTTGTATGGCTCCTGTGTTGGGCTCACACAAGCCCACAGACCTTCCTCTGCAATGGCTGCCTGCCTGGTTAAGAGCTGGCCTCACAGTGTAAAGAGGTGTGATGAGGATGCTGGCATGGGAACAGCTAGCCTGCCTCTCTTGTGGAGATTCCAGGCTTAATGAGGGCAGGTTGTGACTGCAGAGGGGGCATTGGGGACCTGTTCTTAGGTCCCTCTGGCCCCTGTCTCCTGGTTTTCAGCCCCCCCTGCACCCCCATATTTGCTGCAGTTATTGATGGAGGCCATTTTGTGGCTGGAGGACCAATGGGTGAAGGCTCCAGGCCTTGCCTCATGAATGCCTCACCAAGCGCACCCCCATTGCCAGGGCAACACTGACGCCTCCTCACGTGCTCTCCGGATCCAGTCATTTGCCCTGCACCCAGACGCAGAGATCTGTCTGCCTCATCTACCCGGGGCTTCTAGAAGCCCCGGGAAGCCCACCTGGCTTTAACTCCGAGGGAGCTACCCGGGAGACCCCTGGACTGCGCTGCCCTAGGACACGATCTTCTGACTCTCCGACTTCAGGGCTCTGCGGTGGCATCCGCAGTGGGCTCCGCAGCCCGCAGGCGGTACCCCCCCGCCGCCCCCGCCCCCGCCCCGCGGTAGCGCTTGCAGAGGAGGAGAGAGTCAGCAGGTGACTGGGGACTTCGCTGGAGCCGGACCCCAGAATTTCCGGGGACCAGCGCCCTGGGTAGGGGTCGGATCTCAGCCCGGGCGGGAAGCAGTGGGGGCGGAGGGGGGTCCTTGGCGGGTGCCGTTGGGGAAGGGAGGGAAGGAGAGGTGGGGTACCAGACTGCAGGGGTCTGGGGAGGAGTGGGCTCCTGGCTGCGGAGGGGTCCATTCTAGCGGGTGGGGGAGGGGCCCTGGACTCTGCTGCGGCTGCGGGGGCTGCGGCAGCGGGTTTACAGGTTGCCTGTGTCAGAGTAGGAAGCGCAGGAGCTCTAGCCCCGCTCTAGGAAAGAGAGGGTGGGAGCACTCCTGGCTGCGGGCTTTGCGGATGATGGAAGGATAGATAGGGCTCCTGGCTGGGGGTTTGCAGATGATGGAAGAAGGGGCTCCAGTTGCTAGGGCTGGATCAGGGGTTTAAGCCCAGACCAAAGGGGTCTTCTCGTTGCGGAGGTGAGGGGTGCAGTGGGGGATTATGCGGCAGTAGGGGGTGGGGGCGCGAACTGTCCTGGGAGGAGGTGGGGTGGGCTGTGTGGCACCAACGTTCCTCCCCCCCCCTTTTGCATTCCCAGACCGCCCCAGCAGAGACTGCGACAGTCTGCGCACCTCTTTCCTATCGCGTCTACTCCCCCCCTTCCCCCCCGCCCCCACGTCTGGGAGATGGCGCTGACGATGCTGCGGGACTGGTGCCGCTGGATGGGCGTGAACTCAAAGCGCGCTGTGCTCATCCTGGGCATCCCTGACGACTGCGAGGAGGAGGACTTCCAGGAGGCCCTGCAGGATTCCCTGTGGCCCCTGGGCAGGTACCGAGTGCTGGGCAATGTCTTCAGAAGGGAGCTTGGGTGCAGGGTCGCCTTGGTTGAGTTTGCTGACAATTTAAACCGAAATCTGATTCCCCGACACATACCGGGCAAGCAAGAGGACTGGACTGTGATCTTCCTGCCTCAGGTCTTTGACTCTGAGTCACAGGATGCACCCAATTTCCCTGCACAGCCCCAAAGGCAAGCGGTGGCTGGCCCGGCTGATGAAGCAGGAGCCGCACAGCCGGTTGGAGCTGCAGGTGAAGCAGGAGCCCCCGGTGAGGAGGGAGCTGCAGGTGTGGCAGGAGCTGCAGCTGAGGAAGGAGCTGAAGATGTGGTGGGAGTTCCTGGTGAGGCAGGAGCTGCAGATGAGGCAGGGGCCTCAGGTGAGAAGGGCGTTGCAGGTGAGGAAGGAGCTGCAGGCGTGGCCTCAGTTGAAGATGTGGTAGAAGCTCCAGGTGAGGCAGGAGCTGCAGCTGAGGCAGGAGATGCAGCCGAGGCAGGAGATGCAGCCGAGGCAGGAGATGCAGCCGAGGCAGGAGCTGCAGCTGAGGCAGGAGATGCAGCCGAGGCAGGAGATGCAGCCGAGGCAGGAGGTGCAGCTGAGGCAGGAGATGCAGCCGAGGCAGGAGCTGCAGCTGAGGCAGGAGATGCAGCCGAGGCAGGAGGTGCAGCCGAGGCAGGAGGTGCAGCCGAGGCAGGAGGTGCAGCTGAGGAGGAAGCCTGGATCCAGCAATGGAATCAGGCCCTGAAGCCTGTGCTGGAAAATATAGCCTACCAGGAACTGAGAGACTTTTATGGCAATGAACAGCCAGGTCACAAGAATGAGTCCTTTGCGAGCTGGCTGGACCACGCCAATGACATGCTGTACCTGTGGCGCCACATATCAGAAAGGGAGCGGCGGAGGAGGCTGGTGGAGAGCCTGCACGGGCCAGCACAGAATTTCATCTATGGCCTCCTGAATGAAAACCCTGCCATCTCTGCTCAGGAATGCCTGTCAGCGCTGGCTCTGGTGTTTAAGAACAAGGACAGCCAGGCGGTCATGAGGCTGAAGTTTGTGACTTGTGCCCAGCAGCCCCAGGAGACTCTCTTTGCTTATGTGATTCGCCTGGAAGATGTGCTGCACGCGGCCATGGAGAAGGAGGCCATCCACCCAGGCGTGGCAGACGAAGTACGGATGGAGCAGGTGCTGATGCGGGCCCGCCCCAATGAGAAGCTCCTGAACAAGCTGAAGAAGATGCACCTGGAGGAGAAATCACCTGGCTTCCTGGAGATGCTTCGGCTCATTCGGGAGTCAGAGGCATGTGAGGCCACTCCGACCATGAGACAGCAGTTTCAGGGGGAAGAAAGGGCCTGGGTGGACATTAGAGGACTGGCTGCTGCTCAGGCCACCCTAGCTCATGAAGGTGCTGCCCAGGCTGCCTCAGCCCATGAGGATGTTGGCCAGGTCGCACCAGCCCATGAAGATGAAGCCCAGACCGCCACAACCCATGAAGATGCAGCCCAGACCGCCATAACCCACGAAGATGCTGTCCAGGCCTCCCCAGCCCATGAAGATGTTGGCCAGGCCGCCCCAGCCAATGAAGATGCAGCTCAGGATGCCCAAGCCAATGAAGATGTTGGCCAGGCCGTCCCAGCCAATGAAGATGCAGCCCAGGCTGCCCTTTCCAAGGAAGATAGTGCCGAGGCCACTCTGGCCAAGGAACTGGCCATTGAGGGGGGTCCTGCCACTGCTGATCCTGATGAGGCTGCTCCTGAAACCGGTGATGCCACCAGGGCAGACCCTGCCCCTGAGACCGCGAAGGCCTCCCCTGCCATTCAGGGAGATGAGAATGCTCTGGCTCCTGCAGGTCTAGGTCAGGCAGGGCCCTCGCCTGCCCACGTGGGCATTGCTTTCGGGGTGGGCTCAGGAGGTCCTGGCGGTGACCCAGAGGGCCTGTCCCAGGAAGAAGATGAGGAGGCTGAGGAGCCCCACGAGGAGGAGCTCATTCTCTTCCAGGAGGAGTCAGAAAGTGAGGACGGGTCTGGGAAGATGAGTTCCCCTGAGCCCTCCTTCAAGTAAGCTTGGAAGGCTCAATGGCCTCCTGTTCTCTGGGGCACCAGAGCCCTGGAGGCAGGGGAAGGCCACCTCACCCTACATGGGGAACAGGGCCCATGGAAGGGTCTGCCCTGCCCCTTGGTCCCCCACTACTCCCAAGGGGCCCTGACCACCACCATCAGCCCTTCCAAGTCATCAAGATGACCATACTTGCCACCTAATGGGATGAGGAGAGGTGCCCACACATGGTAGCACTACACCTGGCCTCAGCCCCAGCCCCTGCCAACTTGGGCAGCTGGCCTGGGAGCATTGCCAAGGCCTCCCCGCCATTCAGGGAGATGAGAATGCTCTGGCTCCTGCAGGTCTAGGTCAGGCAGTGCCTAGGCTGAGCAGCCCATCTCAGCCTAGGAGAGGGGCACCTGAAGACATCTGCCACCCGCGTGGAACTGGGAGACTTTAGGGCCCATCACAGGGGTGCCAGTCTCTGAACTCCCATCCTCCATCTCCTGGGGAGCCCCCAACTCATTTTTTCATAACTCCATAATGACCCATGTGTCAAGTAATCACCCTCCCACACACACACAGGCCATGGAGCCTGTGCAGAACCACCTGGTGTGTGTGAACCCAGGTGGGTATCCTGCCCAGCCCCCCCCCCCCCCGGGGCAGCCACCTCTCAGCCCCGGCACGTGCTGTGAGCCCCACTGCCAGCCAAGGCTCTGCCAGCTCTCGTCCAGTGTCGTGAGCTCAGCCTCTGCTTTCTCGGTGTAGATTTAGGCAAACCGCTGCTTGTGCTTGTGGAGATGTGTGTGTTCTTCTCTGAGCAGTTCCCCACCACCGCTCCCACCCCGGACGGAGACCCCGAGCCCGGGCCCAGAAGAATGGATGAGAAGAACGGACCAGGGCGCGTCTGGCGCTCACCCAGTGACCTCTGGCAGGAAAAAATAGACCAGGGACAGAAGGCGGCTGCTGGAGGCTCCACGGGGACTGTGCTCTGATATGCCACCCTGTTGTTCCCTGTGACTCAGTTTCCTCAGCATGCTGGAATGTCCCCTGCTGTGTTTTCCAGTGTCTTGTGTCTGTCCTGTGCAGGCCTTAGGGCAGAGCCAGGTCCCAACATGTCGTCCAGAGGGGGAGGGAGCCCTGCAGTGAGTGGACATCAACTGTGTCCACTGTCCTACAAAGTCTAATCAAAGGGCCCTCAGGGAGGGGGACTATGGAGGGAGGGCCACAGTGTGGGGACATTTAAGGCACCTCGTTAGGGACCCCAGGAGAAGGGGGTGTGACCTATGGGCTCTATTGGCCTTTAGAAGTTCCTCTCTGTGCTGTCATTCCCTTTCTTCAATGGATTCAATAAATATTTCTCTTCAATAAACATCATTGAATGTTTCATCTGAGTTTTGGCTCTGTGGTGGGCAATTGAGGGAAGGGTCTGCTGGGGACAGGGTTGGGGAAGAACAGTGGCCTGGGACTCCAAGTCAGAATTGGGGTATGGTAGGGGCAGGGTCCATGGGGGCTGTGAAATCCTCTGGGCTGGATGGTGTAGTTGGCAGGAACAATGGCTGGTTGGTTCTGCAGGAAACTCTGGGATCCCCCAGAAATAATTGGGTTAAACATTGAAGATAGGGGGATGGACAGCAGGCAGGATTGAAGGCCCTAGGTTCTCTGGTAGCATTGTGGGGGCTCAGGGCCAGGGAAGTCACCTGTGTAGTCCCAGAGACCAGTGCACCATAGTAGGGCCTGGGAGTGAGGTCAGATGCCCCTGCCAGAAGCTCAGTGCAGGACTCTGGGGTGAGGTGGGGTGATTGCCCACCCCTCTGTGATCAGCCTAACCCTGGCAGCTGACAATTGGCCAGCCTTGGTATAGCCACTGAGAGATACCGGAGGGATGGAGAGCAGACCAGGTGGGTTTCACAGGGCTTATCCCTTGCCAGGAGGGGAAGAGAGGCTAAGGTGGTTTTATCACTCCTGGATCCTGCCCTTTCACCCCTGGGAACCACAAGCCCACCACACATTGAGGACGGCCCTCCATAGGTCATTGAACTGATTTCAAGTCTTTGAGAGGCAGACAGAAGGAGGGACTGGGTCCTTCCTGCATGTATTGGAGGAGGGGAAAGTATTGCTGACCCAGAAATGGTGAGAGACTCACTGGGGTTCCCTTAGTCTGTGCCCAGAGGTGTCCTCCAGCTATTCTGACAGGACAGAGTCTCTGACCACCCCCACAGCACAGATGAAGGGCACAGTCCCCATAGCAGCTGAAGAGCCAGGGCTCTGAGGCCTGGGCTCCGCAGGAACCATGCATGTGGGGAGACTTGGGCCCTGTGGTGAGGGCTGAGGACAGTGGGGCTGCAGGGATGGAGCGGCCCCTGGAAGTGCTGGGCACCTAGGCAAAGAGGGGCAGTTGCAGTGGGGGGTGTTGGGAAGGAGGTCACAAGGGCCATATCAGCTCTGCCCTCTGAAGTTTCCCCACCAAAGTCCAAAGCTATCATTTGGCACCCTCCCTCTCCGCCCTTTCAAGACCACCATCCTCCTCTAGGCCCCACCGCTGCCTCCTGGAGCCTGGAGCAGGGCCTGCCTCCTGAGCAGCTGTCGCTGCACATGGGAATTCTTCCCTTGAACACTTTATTTTTTTATTATTATTTTAAAATCCTCACTCGAGGATATGTTTTTATTGATCTTACAGAGGAAGGGAGACGGAGAGAGAGAGAGAGAAATATCAGTGTGAGAGAGAAACATGGATCGGTTGCCTCCTGTACATACCCCGAATAGGGGAAGGAATCCAGATCGAACCTGAAACCTGGGTATCTGCCCTGACTGGGAATCAAACCCTAGACCCCTCGTGCATGTGTTGACGCTCCAACCAAATGAGCCACACCACCAGGGTGTTCCCTTGAACACTTTAGCTGCCTGTACCTCTGGCTGTCCTGCTCCTTCCCCAGCTGTCCATCTGGGCTGGAACTCAGGGCTCCCATTCTCACACTAGAAAGCTTAGGTCCCTATCTCCTTAGCACCTCTTGGGAGCCATGATTTCCATCACAAAAAGGGAAGATCAGCCCCCTAAGCAGATTGCTTTCTTATTCCAGGATGTGGCTGGGCACATTTCTCTCCAGCAGGGTTGCCAGCCAGCCCCGATGACCACTGAGTACCTTTGGGGCCTGTAGCCCTGTTCCAGGGCACCGTGGTGTTGCATAAGACTGGGCCCTAACCTCCCTGAGCTCAGGCTCAGGTGTCCTAACACATGCCCACCTGGGCTCTGCAAAGGCTCAGCCCAGGTTCAGCCCTATGCTGCCTGCCCTCTATACTGGGCTTTCTGTGGCGCTGCTTATGGGAATGTCTCCCATAAACCCCCACACCTTGCTTCCAGTTCTGCATGGCAGTCTGAGAGCCATGGTCCCACCTGGCCAAACAAGGCACAGTGGACCTGGCCCTATCGGCCCTGAAACCATCAGCTGTGTACTCGAAAGGTGCTGAAGCTTAGGGTCCTGGGAGAAGAGTGAGTCCCTCCTTAATGTTGACTGCCCACCAGGTAGTGGGCTGAGCAACTGGGCCTGCATTTCTCTGGGAGTCCTCAGAGGAGCCCTGGGGGGAGGTGGACGCTGTTATGACTCCTCTGCTGCAGATGAGGACACCAGGCAAAGGAAGGCTCATGGACCTGCTCAACGCCCCACAGCTCCTTAGTGGAGGTGCTGGAGTTCCAGGCCAGACAGGTGGACCTCTCAGCCTGGGCCCTGGAAACACAGCTGAAGGACATTGAGGTGTGTGGTTAGCAGTGACAGTCCCCGGAAACATGGAAACACAGAGGGGGTAGTGCATGGGGGTGGTGGAGATGCCAAGGCCAGAAGGACCGGAAGGAAGAGCAGGAGAGGGGGAGGCAGGGAGGGAGCGACTGAGAAACAAGCATCATCCCGCCCTCCTTTAGGTGACTCGGGGCCCCAGCAGGCCTAGATGAAACCACCTTCCACCTCCGTAGGGCACATCTGCTCAGAGGAAGGGCCAAGGACACATCTGGAGGTCTGTTGCTTTTATTTATTTATTTTTACCAAGAAGGGCTCCAGGCTCACTCACTGCATTCCCCTCCAGGAGATGGGCCCTGGGGGCAGGGAGAATTCCGTGGAGTTTGTTGCCAGCTTGTTCATTCACACTTCGGGATGGCTGTTCTGTTTGGCAGACTCAGTTTCTGTGCCAGCAGCTGGGCACACAGAGGGCGAGGGACCAATGGCAGAGCAGATGTAGGTAGGTGGCAGGGACGAAAACAGCTCACATGGAGGACTCAGTAAGTGCTGGGCACCACCTTAGGACTTTGTTGCATGGGCGCTGCTTTACCTGTGGAGTCTTGTGTCCTGTGTTGGAGTGACACAGGCTGAGTACTTGGCATGAGGTATGTGTGATGGCCAAGGGTAATCGACTTTGATTACATGGAACTCAGCCTGGGATTCACAGGGGCTCCCTGAGGCAGATGTGTTCTGAGCTCAGTCTTTTAAAAAAAATGTAGTTTTATTGATTTCAGAGAGGAAGGGAGCGGTAAAGAGAGATAGAAACATCAATGATGAGAAAGAAAGATTGATCGCTGCCTCCTGCACACCCCCTGCTGGGGATCAAGCCCGCAACCAGGCATGTGCCCTGACTTCGAATCGAACCATGACTCTCCTGATTCATAGATTAATGCTCAACCACTGAACCACGCTGGCTGGGCCTGAGTTCAGTCTTAAAGACCCAGCCAGTTCTAAGGTAGAGGGAGGACTGGGAGAAAGTGTGGCTTGTTCCATCAGAGAGGAGAGGCATGAGTTCTATGACACACGTGTGCCTGGAGTGCCAGGGATGCTGAGAGAGAGAACAGAGGTGAAGCATGAGCTGGAGAAGCAAACAGGGTTCCATAGTGAGGTTTTTCATAACAGGTAAAGAGCTCTCTCTCTTTCTTTTAAATTAAATTAAAATTGTTCCATTACCTTTTATCCCCTCTATGCCCTCTACCACCTCCACCCATGCCCCTCCACCCCCACAATTTTGTCCATATCCATGAGTTCTCT